TTTATATGTATAAAATAATTTGATTGACAACTCCAGACATAGTAAAACCTAACAACTAACAACGTTGTAATACTTTTCTTTTTCGAATTTTAAAGAATTGATTTGTTTATATCCAAAAAAAAAAAATCTATACAATGCTTATATACAATATTGATAGTGAACATCTCGCGAATCAACATATCACACATACAATGTCTCAATATATAAAGTTATAGAACTATTTATCGGGTATCGATATTTAAAAATAACATCAAACCAACTTTTTGCTTATTCAAGCTACATATAATAAGTAATATTTGAATTTTGAGCTACGTGATGTCTAGTGGCAGGATTTCGAGAAGCCTTTTCATTGTTAACAACTTCGTCAGCAAAATGAACACGAATCTTTTCATTGCGTCGGGAACCCGAGATTAAACAACCGCGTTGAGGAAGATCAGATTTAATTATTTTATTTGATTTGCTTTTTGAGTTAATCTTAGGACCGCCATCTGTTATTATCTTGGTACCCTATAATATTAATCAACATTGATAAACATTGATAAAGATTGAGGAGAAAAATAATCATGTATATAAATAAAACATTATTAGTAACATGACATACTTGTTTAGTTCCACCAAGAAATTTAATTAATTCATCGCGATTCGTCAATGCGAGATATTGTAAATAAAACTCAAGATGAAACCGTCTAAATTCGATAAATTCAAGATTGAATCTTCCTAATAATGATCAGGAATTTCACGTGAAATTTATGGTCTATATATATGTTTATGTTTATAATTATATGTTTACGTAATTATACCATATCGCTTCTTTGGGGTAAGCGGTGGAATAGCAGAATTTCCATATTTGTGCACAAGTCTTTTGTGCAGCTTGTAAAAATCAGTATATCTTCTATTGATGAACAATTTTCCGACTTGGCCATGCACCCAATACTTTGATGATAATAATTACATCATTTTAAGAACAATTAATATGACAATGGAAAAATTATAACATTATGAGGTGCCAGTTTTTAGCTCTGGCCTCTGTGGTCCAATTGAGTAGCTAGAACTGAGTTTGTTTCAGGAGAGAGGGATGGTTTGACGGAAGGTAGGTTGAGATAATCCAAGACTTGTTGCCATTTGGAAAATAAAAATCGATGCAGATTGCTGTTCTAGGAAAGATATGAATACTATGAATATATGGTTGCAGTTGATTGCATATCATTAGAGCTGTTTCTAAGCTGGTTTCTCATTGGTTTGGCTTATAGGGCAAAAAGTTTGAAATAAATATTTTGTAAAATGGGTTGGTTAGCGATCTTGTTGCTAAGTCTTTTAGCTTTGTTTCAGTAAGAGAGATTATATAAAGATTTGTTTCTATACAATATTCAATCCAAGTTTGTACTTTTAAAGGATTGTTAAATCCTCTAACGTTGTGAGTAGCTAAGTTAATTTTTTTGTATATATCAAGTTCTAGCTGTTTGGATGTATTAACGTTTTCTGCAGACGGCAGAGTTTCTGTAGACAGATTTGTACTCATTGGTTATCTGTGTTGGAGTCTGGCTCTGCTTCGAACATTTGTGTATCTGTTATTGTTACAGGTATTCCTTTTGGTTTTGATGTTGTAGTTGTTTTTTGTTCTTCAAAGATATCGAAGGATGGTTCTGATAGATCAATTAGGTCGAAGATATATTCTGGTACTGTATGGTATACGAAATGTTGTTGAAGAGTTTCCAGTACTAGTGGGATATTGTGATGTTTCTTTATAGGAACATTTATATTAATAATTTTTTTTTCTTGAAGAG